GCAACAGGTTGTCGAGAAGTTGCAAGCGAAGAGTCGAGCGCAAAAGAAGCTTGCTGATGAGGCGGTCAGTTTGCACGTTTGACTCTTGGTCATTATTGTTGTTGATTATTCGATGAATGGAACCAATCTAGTCCAAAATTATTTGTCTTCCAAGCTTTTTGTTCTTTCTTATTTTGAAGTTGATTTCGATAACGAAAAAAGTTTCATTCTCTTCTCTAAGAACGATCTTAGTAGTCAGAAATGCAATTTTAAATGAACTTTTTGACTCAGTAAAACTTTATGTGTCCTAATTCGTAAATTTCATAGATTTCACTCAATCGTTCAATCCAAACTAACCATCTGCTCTCAATACCTAGAGGATTCTGTCTTTGACTAAAAAAACTGCTTCTCTACGATGACAGAAATAACTGATTATTTGTTTGGAATTAATAACTTTGATCGGTTAATCGATCGACGACCTTATTGACCAAAGAAAGCAACTGCTATTGATGCTATAATGGGTTCAGTATTGTGTGCATGTAGTGCAAGTCTCATAAGTGAACTCAAAGGTTTTGACGGTTCCACTGCATTATCGGGGTGCTAGAGCATTGTTTATCCTATGTAGTCCTATTATTGGTTTGCAGTAAACCTTTGAAAATTTAAGTAGAACAAAGTGAATTTTTGAAAATTTTATCGGGTATGTATATAAAGTATCAATGTCAGTGTTAATGCTCAGGAGTTACTCGCAAACGCAAATTTGATGAAGTATCGTCAACTGAACGCAGCACTTGAGAGTGTTGAGCATCGTGCTTCGAACGCAGAAAATGGCCTTCAACGAATCCGTTCCAAGCAGCGAATCGTCGACACGACCACAACGAAGACTCTCAATCAAATTAAAAATTCACCCTCATTTGATAATCATTCGGTGCTATTTGCTGCAGAAGGTGATGAAGAAAAACCTAGTCTGCATAACTTTTAGTCTGTCATTTAGTTGTCTCGAAATAAAACCGAAGTGAATGTTATTATTGTTAGTGCTAATGTGTAACAAGTAACGAATAACTTGATAGTGCCTCTTATGCGAAGAAGTAAAAAAAAATTGATAACACATTTAAAATGTCACTCAACAAGCTCTCAACGCGACTGAATAAACGTTTTTTGATGTGCCTTGTCAATGTGTTTTTGCGTGGCAATGAGCGAAGTTGTTCACACTGAATGCTCTCAAAATAAGTGTCTATTCTAAGAGAAAAATCGAATGATTTCTGCACTGATCGCGTCGATATTTGTCAGAAATGTTTTTCATGTAACACTTCACAAATTTCTTCACACACACTTTCAGTGCCCTTCAATTATGAACAAACAAAAGTTGAAACTCAAGAATCGACACAAACCAAAAATCAATACGGCTTTATTGCTTGATGTAAATGAGTTGGATACGTGATAAGTTTGGTAATGG